TTGCTCTTGGACCCAAGTCCAGGGCTCCTATTTCCCCAAATCATATATCATGCTTTATTGACAAATTACCTCACATGCTTCTAAACCTAAGAAAAATACATGGGGAGCTAGTGACAGTTGTCACTGGGTACTTTTAAAGACAAATGTCAGAAGACAGAAGTAAAAATAGATTCAACAATAAGGAAAATGAATGTCTGGTGTAATATTAAGACACAAGATAGAGACGGTCCAGGGTAGTCAATTTAGTGTAGCAAAAACCAAGGATGCAAGTTCTTTCCATGTTTCTATTATTCTGTCTATTTTTCTACTTTGTAATCCTTGGTTTTGTTTTCGCAGATGCTAGATGGCTACAGGGACTAAGCACCAAACCCTCATGCAACATGTAGGTCCTTAAAAAGAGAACTCTTTCTTGTGCACCCCCCTTTTAAAGAGCAAATAAACCCTTTCCCAGAAGCATTCTAAGGAAATTAACCCCCAGGTTTTATTGGCCATGATTATGTCATCCGTCCATTCCTACAACAGTACCTGGCCTGGATATCAACTTAAAACTAATCAGGATTCACATCCCTGGTACTTGAGTGAGGCTGACCCAAATCACATGGCCACCTGATACCAGAATAAAACTGCCTTGTAGTGATGGCTTTATCTGAAGCCACTGCACCTGGATTTTATTGCTGGTTCTGCCACTGTCTATGTAGAACTGAAGAGCTGGTCTACTGAGGTCTTTCCCTGACCTATGTAAAACAGGAGTAATGCATGCCACTGTGCTAGACCATGGCTCAGCTACTGGGATCCTGGGTGGCTGGTGCTTCGGAGAACCAGGAGTAGGCGTGTGTCTGTGGACAACGACATACAAGATGGAAATTGGTGTTTTGTCATCCCTCCCAGCTCTTATTTATCTCTTCATTAGTCCATCTCCCTCCAAAGCTGTTATATCGCTGAAAGGGACCCTCATCAACTGACTTCCCACCAAGACCCAGACAGGGTGGGGTGGCCTAATTACTACTGACTGACCTGCTTTGTCTAACTGGACTAGATGGGCTCTAACTAATAGAACTCAAAACATTTCTCAGGTCAGTTTGTGCTATACCACAAAGTTATCTCTGAATTTCATTACTGTTCATATTAAAGAATTAGTTATCAAAATCTAAACAGGATGACTTGTAAGTCTCTTCCACAGGGAGAAACCCATAAAAGGAAAGGAAAACTATCTTTTGGCTTTGTTGTCCTCTTGGGTAACATAATCACAAAGAAAACTCGAACTCCTGTGGGTAGGGGCTGGGCAGAGGAGGGTTAAGGGGGGTGGAGGAAGGGAGACATCTGTAATACTGTCAACAATAAAAATCTTACCTAATAATAGACAAACATGTAAATTGACTGTCCCTCCAATATGCTCACCAGCCAATCAGGAGATTATGCAAGTTAACCCAACAAAGATGGCGGTTAATTTGCATACGTAGGCACCAAGCGGCAGAACGAAGACTGAAGGCAGAGCGAAGACTGAAGGCTCCGACTGGAGCGAAGGTCTGAGTCCCGGGTGCCGGAGGAAAACCGGAAAACCGGCTGGCAGCCAGGGGAAGGGAAGGCCTATTGCACGAATCTCTTCGTGCAACGGGCCTCTAGTATATATATAAAACTTGAAGAACTCTCCTGTACAATGCTATACAAGTCAGGAAGGGCTAAAGAGGACCTGAAACACCATACTTGCTTTACGAGTGTCCAAACCTGTAAAAGTAAAGATTAGTTCAGCTTTTGACATATAAACACACACACAAACACATAATCTCTAAGGGAAAAATAACCTTAAGCAATAATTCCATATATAAGAGATGTAAGCACAACCATTCCCTCATTCTTGTCCTAATGCATCTTGTTCCTCCTGTATTTTTCTCGGATTTTTAGTTTATTGCTACTCCTGTCCTCTAGCTAGTAAAAAAAAAAAAAAATCTTACACACACATACATGACTTATTTCCTGCAATAACCCAGGCTTAAGAAAACTCATTTTTAACAAGTTGAAGCAATATTTCCTAAAGTAGAGCACTCAGAGCAACTGTTTCAAAATCAACTAGGGTGCTTATCCTCTATAATAAAAGGCTAATATGCAAATCGACCAGACAGCAGAACAACCGGTTGCTATGATGTGCACAGTGGGAGAAGTACAAAAGTCAGTGTTTACGGCAGTGCCTGGCACATTGTAGACGCACCATAAATATTTGTGAACAAATGAATGAAATCATCGCATTTTGTGGGTGGCCCTACTTTCCATCTAAGGTCAGTCTCAAAATGTTTTCACTTTTAATAAAAACATAAATAAATTCTAAAGGCATTGAAAAGGAATGTAGCTTTTGCTAAAGCTGTTATTTTCTATAAAAATAATGTAAGAGGGGTTGCATTACACAATGAAGTTCCTTAAATACCCTTTTAAAAAAAAAACTCTCAATTCCCACTCCCTCTGGCAGCTGCCACGACAACCTTTCCTCTTTCTTATGAGTATACCCTTCTAACAATTACCTTCTCTGCTCCTCCCCTTCATAGGCCAAGCTCAAGCAGATCCTTCTGAACACATTTGGCCTCCCTATTTCTCCCAATTGCACTCCGACGCGTCAACCCGCTCAGCAAATCCAAGAATCCTCCCCAGTATTCACCCTTCATCGAATGCTTGGGGTGGGTTGGGGGCAGTGGAAAAAAGGGTAAATATTAATAATTTAGTTACTTTCTCAGTCACTTAGGAGCTCATTAATGGATAGTTGTTATTGATTTTTATTTGTATGCATCATTGGAAATACATAGTGTTTTCCTTCAATTTAACTACACTCTGAAGCAGGTGGATTTTTTTTTGCCCTGGATCAACTAAAATATCTAAGTGGTCTTAAAGGAATCCCCAAACTAAATAACAATCCCAGCAGGAGATTGAGGAGTGCAGGAATGGATAGTTTGCAAGACAGTGATTTCTAATTCCAGTACTGTTCTTATCTGAGCATTTACTTGGCAGTGAAGCAAAATTAATGAACAAACTAAGTTCACTCTAGGTTTGGCGATGATTCCTGAAGAGCAAAGCTGTCCCTGGGCTTTCAGCAAGGAAAGCACATTGACCAGAAGCAGTATATGTATATGTATATGTATATGTATATGTATATGTATATGTATATGTATATGTATACATACATGCATTCTGCTTATGTTTCAAAACACTTTTTTTCTAATGCCCAAGGATATGCTTACTGATTTGAGAGGGAGGAAGGCAGAGGGGGGGGGGGGCAGAGGGTGATAAAGAGGGAGAGGGAGAGAGGGAGAGAGAGAGGAAAAACATCCATTGGTTGCCTTCTAGACCCAACCAACAACCTTTTAGTATACTAGATATGGGATGACACTCCAATCAACTGAGCCACACGGTCCATTTGTCACATCTTGCCCAAGGAGAAAACATGAGGAAAGCACTGGTTGCAAATGAGAGGCCCACCTGTAAACATATTGTGTGGCTCTCTGTTTCATCCTATGTGGTACAATAGTACTACTCTTTTAAAATAAAAAAATCATGCAGACTTGAACGGTAAGGGGAACCCTGTGAGAGTGATTGCCCTGCTGAGCCCGGTTGGTCTCTTCTTGTGCACACTTCCTATTATCATATTTAAGTTCTGGATTCCTTCTCTCTGGCTTTTAGGCTTTTTGGTGCAAGTGAATCCTTTCTTAGAAATAAGAACTGCAATGATTCACCGCAAGCCTATTGGACACCATAGTACGAACTCCTAAGAAGGAGATCCGACTTTTACCGCCTGGCTTCTACCAGCTACTGACTGATCCTGGCCAAAATACTCATCACCTCTGAACCTTGTTTGCCTACTAATCAGACAAGAATTACAAGTGTTCAAACACTCACAAAGGTGATTTGTAAGCAAACAATGTTTACATAGTCTGTGCTGTGTATTTTAACCAGAGTCCTAGCAATCCCGCTTCACCATGAAGGTACCATGTGACGCCTGCCCAGGTCTAAAAGTGTCCTCCCGCCCCCACCCCCGGTTGGAAAAAGTATCTCAAAACAGCGTACTTGTCTGGAAAGCTAGGGTTGAATACGTGCGGGGAACCCTAGACCAGATTTTAAGACTATCTGCCAGGCTCTCTGGAATTTTTCCTTTTGAGCTGCCAGCAGAGGTTGGTATTGGTGGATTTCAGGTAAAGTTCCAAGTCAAAGCTAGGATGGAGATGTTTCAAGAGCGGTTTTGCTTAGGATGTCGGCGCGTTTTATTAAAGGCAGCACCGTTTTTAGCACTTCCCCCTCCGGCAGCAGATAACCCCAGTCCCCACTTAAGACGGACAGTTTTCTCCCGCCCTGCCTACTTCTGCCGGGGAGCACGCTCCCAGCCCCTTACCCGAGCTCAGCCCCAAGTAGCCCTGGGGACACATCAGCAGCTAGTTAAGACGATAATAAAGAGTCCGGTAAGGTGATGGATAGATTTAGGCTGGTTGAAGCAAAGCTTTAAGTGTTCCCTCTGCGGTTCCTTTCCTCCACTATCTCCACTAGACAAACTGTAACCAAGAAACTGGTGGAGGGGCCAGTGAGGGGGGAGCGAGCCGGCGTCTGCGGCGTAGGATGAAGGGGATCCTGGAAGGATGTGGCTTCTGAATTTACCCAGCCGGTTCGGGATCTGAAACGGCGTCCTCAGTCATTACACCCTCGTTTCTGCAGCTAAACCTTTCTTCTTCCCGAGGCATAAAGTGCAGGGGAACCTCCTCCCCGCCTCGCCCCCCGCAAGCCCCTGCCCCGCTACCCCCTCCTCCTCGAGCAACGATCTCCATTCACCCTTTGCCTTTTCCCCAAGGGAAACAACTCCAACCTTCGGAGCACGCAGACCACGAATCTTAAAGCGACCGTGAGAACCTGTTTCCGACAGGAGGCTTTCCGGAGAGGCGCGAGGTGCGACCCGGCCAGCCTCGCCGCACTTTGCCTCCAGCCGCGGGGTTGGCGGGGCGGTGCCGCTGTGACTCCGCCCCGCGCCGGTCCCGCTCCGGCCGAGCCCCGCGGCGCCCGGACCCGCGAGCGGGCCAGTCCGCATGCTCCGCAGCCCGGCGCGCGGCGGACCCTCGGCGCTGGCGGCGCGCCCCGGGGCTGCAGTGGCGGCGGCCGCGGCACCTGGCGGAGCGCGGGCGCCCGAGTCCCCGCTCCAGGTCGCCACCTGGGCCGGCGCCGAGCGGGCTCCGGGCTCTCCATGCTGCCGGCCTTGGGGCTGCGGAGCCCGCCCCACGGCTCCCGCGATGGCGGCGGCGGAGGAGGCTGCGGCGAGAGGTGAGGGTGCGGACCGGCGGCCCCAGGTGGGGGCGCGGCGCCGGTCGCGCGGGCTCGGGGTGGGGGGCGGGGGTGCGGGGCGAGGGGCGAGCAGCCGGCGGGGTACCACCAGGTGGGCACACTTGGCTGGCAGCTCGCTTCGGCCAGGCATTGCCTCCTGCTGGCCTCGGAGCCAGGGTCTCCCTTGGGGCCCAAGTGTGGGACGGCGCCCCGGGTGCTCCCCAGGGAGCGGGAGGTGGGGAGTGGCGCCCGCCGTCGTCGCCGGCTCTCGGTCTGCCCGCAGCCGGGTCTCTGCGTCCCGGGCTGGACGTGTTGGCGACGGTGAGTTGGCAAGGGACCATCCACCGTGTGCTGGCGAGCGGCCGCGCCCCGCCGACCCCTGGGCGCCCACCTCGCCGTCTGCAGGGGCTGCTGCCTGGATTTGTTAGATTTCATCTTCCTTTCGTATAAACCAGTTGTCAGTCGGCATTGAAGGAGCTCGGGTGTTGCGAGCCCGTCCACGCGGAACTGGAACTATTCGCTTCCATTCCCCGCTTCCAAAACTGCTCCTCCTCCTCCTCGGGGCGGGCAGGGGAGCGCGCGGAAGCAGGTTCACCGCGTTTCCCACGCAGCCAGCCCGGCCTCACTTTGCAGCTTTCGGAGAGCTATCGGCGGGGTTAGTTTTATTCTTCCGTGGAGTTTTTGTGAGCTGAGTGGGAAGCGTCGTGGTGTCTTTCTCCTTCCTGCCGTAGTATTCGCTAGGGACATTGGCTGGTCTCTTCCGAGGGGCTTTTCTCAGTTATCGGATGATTATAAAATATCTGTGATTTAAGACACCCGGGAGGCAGAAAACACCCACAGAAATAACTAAAGGAAGACCGGCAGAGAGAAGTTCAGGGAAGCAGTGGATTAAATCTTCACTTTCCTTTTGGAATATGGTGATGCGTTTAGACTCTTCTCCGAAATACAGCAAGGAGGGCTTTTTGAGAATCTGATTCAGTGGTGGGCATTTGGATCATGGGGAGATTGCCAAAATTCATTCATTTGGATATTTGAAGGCTTCCCGGGTGATATAAAGATGGGAGGAAGCACCGTTTTGAAAAGGGAATGCAGCCTGTTAAGTTGGGGCTCCCTCTCTGCTCTCGGCTGTGACTGAGTGCTGTCCTTTACTGTGTCACCCGGGTTATTTACCCTTTGCCTTAGTTTCTTCATCTGTAAAATGGGGATAATTATAGGATGTCTTATGGGGTTGTTAGGTTTACATGAGATATAAATGCATTTAAATACATATAAGTGCTTAGCCCAATGCCTGGAAAATAGTAAGTGCGTCATAAATGTTAGCTTAATACAGTTAGATTAATATATAGTTAAAGCTCCAATTTGCTTTGTGAAATGAATGGATCTTATCTAGTCTGTTAAGAAAGTGTTGTCCCTTACAAGTTAAAATTAGCCGAATTCAAAGAATATTTAGGCTTTACTAAAAAAAGAAACGTGAAAATGTACCCACTAATTCAAAAAGCAGCTTTCACCAGATACGTTTTATGGACAAGAAGTTGGTTGCTATTTATCTGAATACCAAAAATGAACTCGGGGAGTGAACAAAATTAATTCTTCTTAGGTAAAAGTAGCAAAATTACAAGGGGGGAGGGCCAGCATTTTTATTGGGGTCCTATTATGTACCAGGCATTTCATAAGGAATACCTTCCTTAGTCTCCTAGCAGCCCTGCCATGTAGGTGGCATTATCTCCATTTCACAGATGAGATGAGGCTGGCCCCTCTCACAACTGAGTATGGCCCAGGGTTACAGAGCCAGAAAGTGTCAAAACTGGAGTTCAAGTCTGTGGCTACTGCCCATGCTACTCTCCTTTCTTTCCTGTCTCACTGGGTGGTGCTGACGAGCCATGTGCTCACTTCCAGACACCCTTTAGCTAAAGAGGGTGAAAAAAGTGTTGCAAGTTCCCCCAGCCCAGGAGGGAAAAAACGAAACAGGTCTCTATATCAGAATACAGGGCCATGTTTTCCTTACGCAAAATCCCTGCCGACTCCTTTTTCCTAGGCAGTTTCAATGAAGGCCCTCATTAAAATAATCTGAAACTGGCATTGGGAGGAAGCCCGTTTAAGATTGGCCACCAAAAATCAGTTGGTGCCAACATAATTGCCTGCTCACTTTTTCTGACAGGCTCATGGTAAACACCAAGATTAAGCAAGCTGCCAAGTGATTGGGTGTCCTCCTGGTCAGTGATTCTGGAGAAGGCAGTCTTGGAGGAACGGCACATTTTTCCAGACTGAGGTGGTCACTGTAGGGCAGTTTTCTTCCTTCCCTTCCCATCCCCTGGTCTCGCCTGTGATGTTATCAGACCCAGCTCTTTTGAGGTGTCAGTCTGCCATTCTAGTGGCTTTAATGTATGCGACTCAGAAATTAAAAGTCAGGTTCCAGTCAGCTTTGCATCAGCCACTGTTCCTGGGCTGGATCTTGGGCAAAATGTGAGCCAGGACGGTAGTACTCAAGATAAACTAGGATGGACTAAAAGAGCTTTTCACATGTTTCAGGGGGAGGAAAGAGAGGAAAAGATAGAAGGGGGAGGAGAGGGGGGGAGAAAAGAGAGAGGAGGAGAGAGTGAGGGTAGGGGATGGGGAGAAAGGAGTACAGAGCCAGAGGAGAGTGGAGGGGGAAGAGATGAAGGAGGAGAGAAGGGGGAGGCAAGTGAGAGTGTAAGAAAGGAGCACTGGGAAAAGGGGTGAGGGGAAGAGGGATGAGGAGGGGTGGAGGTGAGAGAAGGGAGGGACTGCCACGCCATCCAAGTTTGACTCCAGGAAGAGAAATCAAACTGAATGTTTAAAATATATAGGGAAAGCTGAAATATTAGTACAGTAAGCACTTTACTTTACTGTTTTCCTTGTGGAAAGACTCCCTGGTTCTAAAAAGCAAGATCTCTTTCTGTGCTGTGAACAGTGACTATAACAGCCTTTCGAAATCTCTCCCTTTACGATGTAATGTTCAGGAAATTATAAGTCAGGTCATGACATTTCATTCTGGTAGCCCTCATTTCAACTGTGCCATTTACTTGAAGCCCTCCAGCTTTCCATTGTGAGAACTGACTCAGTGCCTGGGATCGGGGCCATTAGTCAATACCTGCACTGTCATCAAGGACTCTGTGAGCCAGGTGCCCTGCAAGAGACGAGAGCACCCGAGACATCAGGGAGTCAGTGATTTCCTGTCCTGGTTTTTGCAAATCTGCTAACTGGTATGGCAGCCCTTCTTGTACCCCTCACCTTGCCCAGAGCCTCCCTCATTCCCCGTGGCTGGAGGCTTTGAGAACTTTGAAGACTCTACAATTTAAACTCTCAGTGCACCCCCACAGCCCATGGCCAACCTCCCCCCTCCCCCGTCAACCTCCCAACCTCCCATGGTCCCTCCCTGCCACCACCCCCCCCCGCCCCTCCCCAGCAGGCCCTGATCAGGACTGGGTGAGGTGGCCTGATGGGCCCTGATCGCCAACCAGGCCTAGGGACCCCACCTGTGCACGAATTCATGCACCGGGCCTCTAGTATACTTTATAAAGTGTTCCCCCTTGATATTTCCATTACCCACCTGGCACCATATTTAAAATATTTTTACACTTCTTAAAATATTTAAATCAGTCCAGTAATATAACTTTAAAATTCTCATTTGAACATGCTTAAGTGTTGGTTGGCATGATAGGACATTTGTCATTTACCTAAGAAAATTATTGGCAGTTAGTGTCTCTAATCTTTAATCTTACCATTTAAGTCTCTAGATAGCATCTTCACAGAGAGATAAAGACAGAGAAAGCTGGAGGAATAGGAAATGTAGAGAGAGTCAGTCTTGCTCTCAACATAGTTTGCATTATTAGATGTTTGTAATTGAGGGTCAAGATTATTGTCATAAAACAGTAATTTCAAATACATTCAAAATGTTTTACTTACAATATTTATTTCCTTAAGCAGGTAAGAAATGTATGTACTTTACCATACGTTCCGAGCATATCACAGGGGAAGTGGAGAATCACCCACTGACTTTCTCCTCCCAAACCTCTCCACTTTATCTGGCCTACACTTAGTTATGTAAGGGAATCTCCTCTCCCCGATGGTTTAAACTTTGCCGTCTTCAGGCTGTTGGTTATACCTGGAATGCCCCTGCCCTTCCTCCGGACAGGCCTGTAGAAGTCTGATGTAGTCCTCAGGGCGGGGCTCAGGTGTCACTGTTTTTATCTGCCTATGGAGGAGCGGGAGAAAGAAGGAGGGAGGGGGGAAGGGGAGGAGGAGGAAGGGGAGGAGGAGGAGGAAATCGGGTGTAGGAACATCAACCAGCCTGAACTTTGGAACCAGACCACTGGGAGTGTGATTGCCAGTTTGATTATTTACTAGCTATATGACCTTGGCCAAATTATTTATCTTCCCTGAGCCTCAATTTCCTTATCTATAAAATGGGGGTAAAAAATAAGTCCTAATTTAGCCCGGCTGGTGTGGCTCAGTGGTTGAGCATCGACCTATGAACCAGGAGGTCACGGTTCCAGTCAGGGCACATGTCTGGGTTTCAGGCTTGATCCCCAGCAGCGGGAGTACAGGAGCAAACCAACCAGTGATTCTCTCTCATCACTGATGTTGTTAGCTCTCTCTCCCTCTCCCTTCATCTCTGAAATCAATAACAAATATATTAAAAAAAAAATACCTGCCCTAGCTGGTTTGGCTCAGTGGATAGAGTGTCAGCCTTCAGACTGAAGGGTCCTGGCTTTGATTCCAGACAAGGGTGTGTACCGGTGTTGCAGGCTCAATCCACAGTCTCTCTCACATACCGTGATGTTTCTCTCTCTCCCCCTCCCACTCTCTAAAAATCAATGGAAAAATATCCTCAGGCAAGGATTAACAAACAAACAAAAAAATCCCACACTTAATTTAGAGGGTTCAGTGGAATTAAATGAGATGATTATAAACTATTTAGTGAAACCTGACTTTCAACAAATGATTTTTTTTCCTTCTATGAAACCTTTCCAGAACTT